TGCTGAGAAAACAGCAAGGCATTGAAGTCAAGCATGAAATGTATGAATATGTAATAAATATATTTTTAATATTAAACAATATTTGAAAATAATAGCTAACAGAACACTTTAATTGCATTTTGCTTTTCAGTATTGGATTGCTGGAAAGGAAAACTGGTTTCCTATTGCTGTCCCAAAGCTGTGGCCATAAAAATAAAGTTTATTGCAAAATATTCTATTCCTAATTCTCTTATGGTTTCAGGTTGTGTCATTAAAGTTACCCACATGCAATACCTAAATACCCTCTCTACACTAAGGTACTTTTAAGTGTCTTCCTTTAGAAATACCCCCTCCCCCAACACAGGGCATTACTGCATGGATAGGGCCAGATTTTGCTGTTCTCCTATGACAGCTGCAAGATTTAACCCTGGAGACTCTTTGAAGGGGAGGCAATGAGTAGTCTCTCTGCTCTGTGCTGCCACAACCTCACGTGTTTATTCTTTAAGAAAAATCGATCTGAAAACAGTCATGACTGGAAAGATGAAACGCCTCTCTTCTGCTCCTTCAGTTTCTCCCAACACCGCCTTCACCAAGTCCCCAGGACTCTCCATGGCTCCATTTTTCTTACTCTTAAGTTGTAATCTGTAGTTTTAGGCTAACAACACTCATAGTCCTACGAGCAAGTCCAGGCCAACCACTAAAAAGACCATTTGTAGTAATACTAGCACACACCACTGTAGCTGTTTCTGCATGCTATCTCATAATGTCTGCCATAGAAAGTTAAATCCCCACGGTTTGCTTTGCCAGGTCTAGCCTTTGATATTACTGTCCCCTCTTGTGATGCTGCACGTTCTCGTTGGCAGAGGTTGGTGTCAGCGAGAGGCAAGGAGTCCCACAGGCAGGTTTCCAGCCACAGCACTGCAAGGCACTCATAACCATCCTAGGCAGGTGTTTCCATGTTGGTGAAGAGCTGGTTTTTGTTGAGCCAATTTTGCTAAGGTTACAGAGAGGATTTACCTCGAGATGAGTCAGAAAACTGCAGAAAAGTTGGTTGGAAGGGACTTCTAGAGGTCATACAATCCATCCTCATCCTCCTTGACACAGAACTATTGCCAGCAACAGATGAGGTCAGCGGGGACCTTATCTAGCCAAGTCCTGAAACCCAGGATGGCAGAGCACCCTGTCTCTGCACACCTCATTCCCGTGCAGCATGAACTACCTACACAAGAAGGTTTTTCCAAATCTCTGGTCTGAACCTGCCAAGCCACAGTCCATGACTCTTGCCCCTCTTGCCATCTGCCACAAGGAGGAAGAGTTTGGCTCCTTCGTCCCACAATCCCTTCAGGAAATTGGGATGGGTTTACATGCAAATTGATGCCAATGAAGGTGGATGAGCCTTAAAGAGATTCATCTGTTAACTGAAAACAAACCTTTTTCTTTCCAGAATAAATGCATTCTAACTCTTCTTCACTCCATACAGCATGTTACCCGCATGTTACCCTGGTCTTCAGCCCAAGTCTCCAAGGACTTTCACTATAACAGAAGTATTCAAAAAAACAGAATACAGGAATCATCACCACATCCCCCCCCCAAATCTTTGCAAAAGCTTCCAGATAGAGTTAGAAGGCTTTAAGGTTTTTTATCATTGCCCAATTTCAAGCAGTCCTACCCTACCCTCTTCTCCAACTTCACAGTGGAGGGTTTCAGCTTGCCCAGCAGCACTGTTTCCACATGCCGCAGCACCTCGACAACAGCAAATAACGAGGCAAACCCAATCATATCTGATCAGAACAGCAGTGAAGTTTCTAACTTACACATGCAGATTTGCTTGGTTCAAACATTTTGGATATATGGCCATATATTAGGTGATTACCAAGACTGTATGAGTTAATATCCCAGGCTGTCTGTTTGTTATTTATCAAAGTGCAGTACTCCCAATTTGAGGGCACATGAGTAAGTTTTCAGAAGAGAAGGAGGATCCCCAAAAAAGAAAAATCAGAGCAGACCTGGTTAGCTCTTGCCAGCACAGGCTGGTTTTCCTATTAGTCATTTGGTATGTGGATTTGGCATCTTTAAAGCTGGGTGCAATCTTTTAACTGGGTAATTCTAGTAATTCAAATGCATCCCAGGTGAAATCTGTATCAGAGTAGCTTGTACAGTTCCTGAGCTCATAAGAGTGACCTCAGCAAGCAATTCTCTTGATGATAATGTAATCTTAGCTAACTTCCTATGCACATATACGCTCTAACCAGCACACATTTGAAAGCATGTTATATATAGTGATGGACAAAACTATGTCTTACAATATATAGCTCTCTGCACAGCTTTTGGCTCTAACATGTTACAAATTCATGAAAAGTGTGTAAGAACAGCCAAACCAAGTTGGTCCATCTAGCAGAGAGCCCTGTATCCAACCATGTCTACAAGCAAGAGGCCTATGGAAGAACAAGGCAAGCACAGAGTGTTATTTTGCTGATATATTTCTGCAGCTTCCAGCATTCTTATTTGCCATTTCTCTACCATGTAAACTCTCAGCATTTACAACATCCCCAACACTAAAATTCACAGAGTAATCACATGCTTCATGAAAACATACCTCCTCGTTTGTTCTTTTTATTGCTTTGAATAATTTAGTATGATTAGCGAACTTTATCACCTTGCACTATTCATTTCTAGCAGATTATTTCCCTGATCATTTATGAATATGCTGAATACCACTGGTCCCAGCACAAGCACTTGTGGACATTATTCCACCAGGAAAACAAACTATTTACTCCTCTCTGTTGACTAGCTTTTAATTAGGTAGTAATGCTTAGGTACCATTCCTCTCAGATCTGGGCAACTTACTTTCTTTGTGAACCTTTGCTGAGAAATATTAATAGAAGTTTTTTGCAAGCCCAGGTAGATGATCTTAACTGGATCACCCTATCCACATGTCCAGTGACATCTTCAAAGAGCTGCAGCAGATCTGAGAGACAGCACTTACTGCTGCATTCCCATAAACATCCTGTTTATTTCAATCCAATGTATCATTGTGTCATTAATTGCATTCTTTCCAATAATAAGTCCACCAAATTTAGTCAGACCTGATTATTTAGACAAAGGCATTGCCATAACCTTGCTAACAATGAAGTCAATTGTTTACTGCAGATAGTAATAAACGAGTCACCTTTTTTGCTCTTTCTACAAAAAAACCCTGCTTTCTACACAGACTTAGCATAAACAGGAATAATGTGGAAAAATGCTGATAGGATTCTTTAGCACAAAACACATGGGGCTGGAAAAATTACCATATTCTTCAAGACCAGCACTTCTCTAAAATCAGAATCCATGGCATGTTTTTGTAGTTTTACATGCAAAAATAATAATAATAAAAAAAATCTGTTTTCTTTAGAGATACCCATTGCATTATGTTTCTTAATAACTGAAGCTTACACAGCCCATTAGCTAAAGAAAACCCATTCTGTGCAGACTTGATGGATTTGATGACTTCCTGTTTATTTCTAGCAGGAGTTCAGAGTGTCACTGGATAAAGAAGATTTGAGAGCATTTGTTCAACATTTTGCTATACAAATGTAGAAACTGTATTTGAATATCCTAAGTGGTTTTGACAGTTGTGGCTTTTAAATTGCCAAGATAACATAAATAACAGCCATAAAAATAAATAGTCTAATGCTCCAATCGCAAATACAGCTCTTACTGCTGTGATTACTGTACACTGACTGACAAGTTTTTAGGACTTGTCCCTTGCTTTTTATTGATTATTCCTCAGCTGCAGGACAAAATCCCTCGCTGGCTTCCCTAGTCTGCACAGACACGTCATCAGCTCTCAACAGATTTTGCTCACCACAAAGATCGAGAGAAAGGTCAAAAATCCAGACTAATCACAGTCAAAGCTCGGACTCTGCAACCTGAGACCTAACCCTGCTCCCAGCCAATCCCCCGAAACATTCCTGTGGACTTCAGTCGTGTCTGGAGAAGTCCATAACTTCTCAGACTTGACTCTGGTTCAGTTTTGTCTCCAAGTACGGTTACAGCATGCTGTAGAGTTATATAAAATGTGTGTATATCTCCTGATTATTACTTCTTCCCTTTTTTTTTTCCCCTAAAGCAGGGGAGTCTCTTCCCCTCTCTTTCCTGACATGAAAGCAAAGCATTTCACAGAAAGCATCTCCATTGAACAGCAAAACCTCTAGCACACAATTAAATAACTTGCATCAGCACTTCCATCTCTAAAAATGTGCTAAAAATGCTGATAAAAAGGAAACAGAAGTGATGTGTAAAGTTCACCTTTAGCTTGATTTATCCCGAAATTGAATAACTACATCCTGGCAAAACAATAGGCATTTTCCTAGGATCACCAGTGACAAGGGATAGAACATAAACTTCATCTCTGGTCTATTTGATGAGGTTTATTATCCCAGAAGAAAATGAAATCAGACACCCCTCCCCAAGTTACTAACAAGAAGAATCTGACAAAGGAGAGCAGTATTTCAGGAAAGTTAGCAAAACTAAAAGTTCAGAAACAGAAAAAGATAATTTGAAGAAGATAATTTGCCATGTTCTGAGGGGCTTTTTTAACCTTCCATGTGACATTTTTTCTGGACAAAACTGCTTTTCTGCAGACAGTTTTACTCCTACCATGTCATAAACAGTATTTTGTTGTCTTTGAAAAATTACATGGTCCACATTGGTACTTGATTTGGGCACACATATTTACTTTCCCCGCTCCTCTCTGCTATGCTATTTTTTTTTCTCCAGTTTTGTTTATTGTGATTGGGAAGGTGAACGTGTCTTGCCCTGTGCATGCACAGAGCCCACCACCACAGCAGTTCAGATTCTGTGTACATCTCAAGACCTTTCTGCACTAAAGATGATATCACTGTTGTCATCCTTCCAGTCTGGATATAAAACATCTGTATTTGTATTTTGATTTTTCAATGCCATCTTACATAAAATGAATGGCGTACTAGCATATAAGAAAGAAGAGAGAGGGAAAAAAAAAAAGTTCACCTACTCACCTAGACAGCAGTAATTTACCCTGAAGTTTCAAATCGGCAGCACAGTCATCGGATTGACAGTTCCTCTCAAAAACAGTCTGTGAAAAACAGAGAAAAGAACTGTTACAGCATGAAAAGAGTAAGATCAAAATTAAAAGAAGGAACATGCTTGGATGAAATAAAAAACCACCAAAATCTGTGATACAGGAATATATAGTGTGAATGTTATGGAAATTCAAGGGCAGGCAAATCTCAACATTATCAGAGCTGGTTTTTTTTCTCTTCTAACTGAATAAGCAGCTTCACCAAAACCAGACTCTCTCAGAGGTTTTCCTCAATCCATTCCCACTTCTCATCTGACAAGAATTACTGCTCACACAATATTTCTGGCACTCTTGTTTCTCTTACGAATGCATGTGCATGAAAATGAAACAGAAAATAAACTATTTATGAAACTATTTTCAGACCTAAGAATTGCAAGCAAGGAAATAATGAATCACATATTCACTAGCCTATATTAAAGATAAGGGATTAAACCTTTTTTTTTTTTTTTAGATTTTATCTATGGTAGGAAACATTTCTGCCATCCTGCAAGCAACAGAAAATTATAAAGACTGTTATGTACCAGTGATACCTGGTTTGATACCCTCAAACAATGGAACCACTGTCAATCTTGTGAACTCTGGTAAAGACTATCATTTAGGAAATTTAACTTATTGATAAAGCTAGGAACTGTGAAAGGACAACACACCACTAGACACAGGCATGCTATTTAAGCAGCAAAAAGAAGGGGAATACATGAGAAGTCTATGAGCCTATGCAAATCTCTACAGTAGTTTGTCATGGCTAAACAAGGCAGCCACCAGTGAGTGAAAGAGGAGGACAGGAACATGTTCCTGGCATCCAGGAAACCCAGATGCTGTCAAGATCATGGTTACTTTCCCCTGCTGTTGAGAATAGAGACCAATGCCTTTCTGAACTAGACTTTTCAGGCTGGAGGATTCATTCTTTCAGAGTTGTAATGCTCTTTCAGCTTACCAAATATTCAAGGGACAAATACCCAAAATGAGGGTTGCCAACAGTGTTCAGCTAGGAAACCTGTCAATCCACTGATTTCTTCATTTAGTATGAATGTTCCTTTCTACAGGCTTGGCTTCATGACTTTTATTACCAAAGTAAATACATTTCAATCATAAATGCAAAGACAGAGCAAATCTGTGCAGGACACACATAATGGTCAGATAGGGTTGGAGAGACTCAGTGAGGGGAGAAGATACAGACTTAATACATTTTTTAAGAGCTCTGCCCAACTGTATCAGGACTGGAGAAAGACTTTGAATCTTAAGCCCAGAGGGCATAGAGATTTCTAGTCCGTGTCTCTCCAGGAAGATTCTTGGCTAAGGAGGCAGCTTGCTCTCCTATCTCAATATTGTCAGAGCTCTCCAAAAAGGAGGGACCTCTATGAAGTTAATTGGTGTTGGACTAGCAGATATTGAACTATGCTGTAGGCTGCACTGAGTTGCAAAAAAAAGAAAGATGGGAGGTGGCCATTTCATTTGGGGCTATTTACTTCGCCCTTCCACTTTCCTTTCCCACCTTTTGCTTTCTCAGAATCTCAGAAGTGGAAATTGTTGAGGATTTAAACACAAGGGCTGAATTTACCCTTCCTCCTTAATAAAGACTACCACACCAAAGGACAAGAATAGCCCTGAGACAGGAACCAGCACAAGGTATCCCTCTCAAAACATGGCACATTTCAGAGGTATAGTCTCAAAAGTCCTCAGAATTAATCCTTAACCACTTAGTAGCTATATATAGGAAAGACCGTTTGACCTTCAGAGAAAGAAAAATAAACTGTAAAAATATTCTTGCCTGACAGTTTCCCTATTTGCGCTGCAGAAGTCTTGGCAAAGAGAAGAGTGATCAAAGGTATGACCTGCACGTTTCAAAGAATAAAGTACTGTAAGTACATTTAAGTAACTACCTAATAATGCTGGAATTTTATTACTAAATCTATAGTTGTGGTTCTTCAGAAAGAATGAACAAATACCTCATTTTCTAAAACTACTGAGCATGTATCTCTTCCAACATATCATGCACTAGACAGCAAGCTACTTTGAAATACATTGGGAGTATTTTGTTATGTCATACAAAAGCAAGTTCCTACACAGCACTGGGATGGGAGAAAGACATTAGGATGATGAGTCCCCAGATGCATAACTGTGTAGGAGTGAACCCTTTGCTTCTGTGGAGGATGTTGAACCTGTTCAGGTTTGGGGGAAGAAAGGATTTCCAGTCCAGCCAGCTACTAGGACCTATCGATGCTGCCACAGGTGGTTCAGTGGCCCACTTCCATCGCAAGCTAATGACATCTATGGATTATTTTGCTATTTTCTGCTATTTCCCTGGTCTGGCTAGATGTTGCCATGATTCTACCTCCCCTTTTTGTGTGCCTGCTAGACCCTCAACCCTGTAGCTTCTCACAGTCAATCTACTTGGTCCATTTTCTTCTCTGCTATCCTGAGCCTTCCCTTCCCCAACCTATTGCTTCTTCTGCCTTTCCAGTTGACCAATTCCTGCCTGTTGAAAACCCTTCTAAAGAATTAAGGGGTAAACACACTTTAAGTTGTCATAACATTTGTGAACACTGCTTATATATTCTTATATATTCTGCCCTACTTGGTCTACTTGGGCTGTGATTTCTTTGGGCCAAAAACTGTACTTACCTCAACACTGCATGTTGTTAGAGCAGAAGTCCATTCCTGGGATATGCACAGGCCCTACTACAATATAATCACTAATTTTAACTCTAAGCAATCTTTAAAGTGGTTTCAGCTTTACAATACCAGGTTTAGGGATTTACAGAGCTCTTTAAATATTAAAAGCATTGAACAGCATAACCAATGGGCTGTATGTATTATCCAGAACTGGAAAAAGGGAAGCAGGACAAAACAAATTCATTGCACTGTGGAAACACTTAATGATTTCTGCAGTTACTGTTACCCAAAGTGAAGAGGAACAATTCTGCACACTGATTTTACTGAAGTCCAAGTGATTCTTACTGGATTGCACTTATATTGTACCAAGTACCTCACAGCTTTGAACATGTGTATCAGAGATGGTCAGGAAGCTTCTTTACATAAGAAATACATGCAAGAAAAAATTCAAGGGGCAAGGGTGGGAGAGCACGGGGAAGGGGCAAAAAATTGTCCTGAATAAGAAACACAGCTGCATCTCTTATCTGAAGTCCACCACACTTCTGTCTGGCATTTCCAGGAGAAAAATAGGTGTTCGTGTGCTCAGCAGCAGGGACAGGATAACCTCAGTGTTTCTAGGACACATCTTTACTGTACAAACACAAAGCTAATGTATAGTGCATGCACAGCGAGTCTGTCGGACTTCCTGCAATCACCAGATCTACAGCAAAGCATAGAGCAAATCCAGTGTTTCCAGGGTTCACAATTCCTCTCTGTGCTCTCCCCTGCCACACAGAACCCAGCAGCTATGGGGAATTGCTCCATAGCAGTTCCCACCAGGTCACCAAGCTTCCCAGACAAACGGTTTTCTCAAATTCTGTGTGGCAACTTTTCTGGGCAGAAAAGATGACGCTTCTTGGGAGGTCAAGGAATGTGGCAGATATATCCTGAAAGGTTTGCAGAGATGGATGTTGCCCATGTCCTCCAGAGGGTAAGTCAAAAAGCCTACTTTAAGATATACTAATTATAAAGAGTGAATATACACATCTGTACACAATTAAATGTGCAGTAAGGAAAGACCTAGAGCCAGCTGATAAGGAAGGGGATATGTCTAGACAGGCACTCAGATCAGGGCCTCAAAGCGAGTACCTTTGTGTCCACTCTGCCTCTTGAAGAGAGGTAGTGGACTAAATTCCACACTTGGCGGTAAAGGCCAGGGGTAAATTGTACAGTCCTCTGCCTCAGGAAGTAGGAGGAGGATGAATCCCTAGTTCCTGCATCCTAAGGCATCCTAAGCACAAAGCTGCTGGCTGTTGGGTGTGAAGATATTCTCCTTTTCCTTCCTGCTGATGGTGGATGCTAAGGAATGCTGCTAGGAGGTAAAACAAGCAAGAAGGAGCCTGACTTCAGCCTAATGGTCAGAGCTCTCTGCTCAGAGGAACGTGATCTGGGATTTTCAACCTATCTCACTAAATTGCTTCACTTCCTTTCAATGGCTATCTAAAATTAAACACATCTATGTTTCTGGGAGTAGGGAAGAGAACAGGAAACAGAGAAAACCAAAACAACCTGTCTTTATGGCACTTCTGCCCACAGAACATACAGGAAATCATCCAATAAACAAAGAAAAAACCCAGTATTTCAAGACATTCAACTTCCCAAAATTCAGGGAAGTATATGGAAATTCCAGGTTGTAGCCAAAATGCGCAATCAAGACTTTGAGAGGTTGCCAGTACTGTGTTCCAGTAAGAGTTGTGCCCATCCTTTCATACAAAAGGGAAAGTGACAGCTGAAGGATAATGCTTGAAGAAAAGGGGGAGAAATGAGATTCTCAAAAGAACCCTTGAAAACAAGTTGGGTTTTGGTCTGGACAAGAGAATAGTGGTTCACTCTGGATCAGGCCTTTAACTACTTCCTCACACATCAGTCTACAAAAGGTTCAGATAGCACCTCTTAAAAGGCGGCAGGGCTGGCCTTTGGTAACTGAGTATCCATTCCTTTAACTTCATAAACTGCACTTCAGCAGCATAACTGAGGTTATGCAAAATAATCTGGGTTAAGAATACAGTATTCCAATGCCTACATCGATTTCTTGTAAATTGTCACCATACCCTATAGTATGTGCAGCGATGACTTAGTGATTACATCATGCTAGTAACACAAAAGCAATTCTGTTTAAAGGATGCAGGATAAGGGGGCTTGTTAGTCTAATAATTTTTTACTTTTTAGATCTTGATGCTATATGGCCATTACCATGTTATCTGGTGAAGCTGGGTTCCTGAGTCCTTATTTAGGGACCAGGATATGTGATCCAATTTTCAAAAGTACTGAGCTGTAAGCAAATCTCACTGCCTTTTCTAGGAACTATTTTCTCTTCTACAGCTTTACAAATCAATCACTTA